CTAGATTATTGCGTCTAGCAAGGTGCCTGGCCAAATATAACGTGTCCTCAATATATGTTTGTAGCGTGACTGAGAGAGTTATAAGCATCAGCCCATTTTATAAAGGATTAATAGAATTAGTGCAGAGTCTAGAAATTATAAATTTAAAGAGGTCGTTGTTAGGCAATTCCTCTGAAATAGAGAGGAGGGAAAGTTAAGGTTATTTCAAATGAGGGCAGCGTATAGTAAAATTCCATTGAACAATTTTGTATGTCAATAAATTACAGATCCCTATTCAGAATTAATACAAAATGTGAACAGTAAAATTGTTGTTGTTGTTTTTAAAGCAGATACTTCTTACTTTTATTCCTACTTTTAAGTACGTAGACAGAATATCTTATACTAGGATTTACAAATGCTGCCTGGTGGAGAGTCTTCTTCATTTTAACTCAGCTATGTGCAGAAGCTCTCATGGCTTTTGAGAACTGCTCCTTTTGAAACATTATAGGCTGACACTGGAGAAATAAATTTATATTTTCAGCAATTTCATAGGTACTAAACTAATTTATACTTTAAAAGATAAATGTAAAATTAACATAAAATTATAGTAAAACACTAATTATGACCAAGACTGATTAGAATTTGTGAACAGCTTGAATCAATAAAATATTTAAATAGGAATGCAATTTTATTACTTTCAAATAGAGACAGGATCTGGATCTCGGTCTTTTTTAAGGAATATAGAAGGATGATCAGTAACTCTGCGAGTTAGGCAATGTGGTGCTGATTCACCTCACCATAGAAATGTTTCCATTGGCAAATATTCACTGCAATGTTTAATGCAATTTATACATTCTAGTAAAAATTACGCTTGAAATTGTGTTTATTCTGTTAAGTTGCTTCTTCAAAGATGTGCAAAAGAAAAATTTATAATTAGTCCATTTCTGAATTACCCCAAATTTTCAATTAGAGAAAAGATGCAATGCAAGTTGATTTTAAATGACTTTTAATGCATAGATAGAGAGATGGGAGGGCTAGGATATGGAATTTTAATCCAGAAGACAATTTTCAAAATTGCAAGTTGTGAGCAGTAACTCAGCAAATCATAGTGTGTCCACGTCGTCAGCATTTCTACCACAGGGTTCCCTGTTCTGCAGTTTTCTAGAGTGAGCTCGGAGTCTTGTGACTGGCCCAATAACCTGGCACGTTGACCTGAGACGATGTGAGATAAAAATGAAATATTCTCCAATCATGTGATGTTTAGATTCTAAAATGAAACATATCCATTTTTCAGCTGCGATTTTTATAAACTGTGCAAGTTGGGTCGGGTTTGAGAAAAATAGATGAGGAGAAAGAGAAGGCAAGTGAAGGATGTACATCCTCTGGGAGAAGGAGTAGTAACTGGAGGGTGGAGAGGGTGAGGATGCCAAGAGGGCTTTCCCTTGTCTCACAACTAAAGCACTGCATCTGGTTTTGAGACTCTGGCTGTATCCTAAGTGTAGCTGATTTCATCGAGTGTAGCCTCCCTATCCGGCTGATCAGGCTTCCCGTTTTCAGCACCGTCTTACTAGAAAGACTTTGATTTTAAGAGCCATGGTGGACAGGGAACTTGCAGACCAATTTTCTGCTAGGAAAATGGAGGAATTTATGGTGATTCCCACCCTCCCTCTGAGCACTTAATGCTTCCAGGCAGTCTTTTGATTTTAGTTCCTTTCTTTTTCTCAGTGGGATGATCCCAAATCTTTTCAATTTTTCTGCAACTCTTTATCCTATTCATCTTCTAAGTGCATGACTTTATCTCTAAAGTCCTGGATGAAATGAATCTCATTTGTTTCCCTTCCCTATCCTTCCAACATTGGTAACTTCACCCACAGCTCCCTTTTCTCATCCTGTCTCCCTACAGGAGTCCTTCACCTCCCCGCTTAGGGCTTCGTTCAGTCAGTCAGCAGTGGCTTCACATTCTGTGCTTTGTCTCCTCCCTCTTGAAAAATGAGCCACAAAAGACTAAAAGAATCTTCCCTTGCTTCTGCCTCCACTTCAAACTACTGCTCTCTCTCTCTTCTCCCTTTTGATCCCAAAATTCAAATAAGATGTGTCTGTATTTGCTCTCTTTGACTTCCAGATCTTTCTTTGCAAACTGACTTCTATCTCCACAACTCCTTAGAAAATGCACCAGTTAAGATTACTAGTAACTTCATAATTGACAAATCTTTTTTTTACTCCTCACCTTCCCTGGCTTCTTTGTAACAGCAAAACTATTGATCATTTTTTTCTTCTTGATTTCTACAGTGTTACCTTGTCTTAATTCTCTTCTTTTCTTTTTATTGCTTCCTCTCGGTGTCTCTCACCCTTTCTGCTTCTTTATCCTGACCCTTAAATGTTTTTGTTCACCAGGATTAATTTGGCATTTTTTATTTTCATTCAACGTTCTATCCCTGAGTTAGTCATTTCATGCAGCCCAACCATGTCAACAATTACCAATTCACCATCAATTATCAACACCAAATCTATTTCTCCTGCACTGACTCTTCTTTTGAGCTCCATTTATGTATTAGTGACAGCAGCTTTGACATCTGTTTGAACGTGGACAGTTTATGTGTTTCTGAACTTTCAGTTTTTTTCCTCTGTAAAATGTTGCTGTAAAATTAAATAATACAGCATTTCCTGTCATGTTCTAGGAATAATAAAGGCCAGTGAATATTATTTTTTATACTAATGTTTTGTTGAGCAGTGAAGGTGAAAAGCAGCTTTAGTGAGCATGATGGGATGGTTGTGGAGGAAGCTGGAATAGCAGATGTCAAAGAGGGGAAGCACCACATTTTGCTTAGAGATGAATTAATGCTGTGGAATAAATACAGAATGTGACCATGCCTGTGACAAACATGAAGAGTAGCAAAGATGAGACAGCAGAACTAGTCCCAAACTAAGCAATTCAAAATGCTGAGTATTATTTCATTTAAATACTAGCATATTCCAAATAAGAAGACATTGTCTTGAATCTTCTGTTGGCTAATTAGTGTTTTCCTTAAATTTATGCATTTAGAAGTTTTAATCAAGTAACAAGTTGTATATTATCTATAATCTAAATAGTACAGATTGAACTATGTTGAAGGCATTCTTTTCTCTGTCATTTGTTACATTGAACCTCAAGTATTATACAGATTCATTTATTCATTGATTTAACAAATCATTTTTGCATATTGCTGTGTGCCGGGCACAGTTGCATGGTGGTGTAGTTTATTAGAAGATACAGATACTTGCTTCAAGAACCTTAAAAAGACAGCTACAGGGGCCAGTCCTGTGGCCTAGTGGTTAAGTTCAGTGCGCTCTGCTTCAGTGGCCAGGGTTCAGTTCCCAGACGTGGACCTACACAATGCTTCAGTGGCCAAGCTGTAGTGGTGACTCACACGTAAAATAGAAGAAGATTGGCACAGATGTTAGCTCAGGGTGAATCTTCCTGAGCGAAAAAAAAAAAAAAATACAGCTACATAATTAGATGATACATTTGATAAACATGTGCAACAGGTAAGAAAGGAGGTCATTTTGCTCAAAGTAGGAAGCAGAACAACCCATGACTGGGGTTCACCCTCCTTGATCAAGTTGCTCTAACAACTCAGGAATGCTGGTGAGGTACCTGTCTCAGACATCTCTCTCTGGGTGAACATCCTAAGATCGTCTATGGCTCAATTCAAGACTAGAATCTGCCATATTTTCTTCCTCTTCACCATCAACACTTCTCCTTTCTATATCTTGTTCTCATGGGACTGGTCTTGCTACTTCACCAAACCACTCTGACACCGCACACTTCATTTCACTATACTGGATCTTGAGTTAAGCACCTTCCAGGATGTTAGAACTGATCTGAGAATTTTAGGATTTGTGGTTTGAATGTTCTGATCCCAGGTCTCAGGACAGTCTTTGAAGATTCGAAGACATTGAATATGATTAATGTACGTGCTTGGGCAGTTGCCTTGATTAATAATAAAACTATTTAAAAGGTAATCGGGATCTTTGAAGTTAGAGGTTAAAATAATTATTTATTTCACTATTAAAAGATTTAAGAGTGAAATGGTATATCTTCAAATGTTTGATTAACTGAATCTATTAATTAGATGTGATAAACTCAAGAGCAAATTCGGAGAAAAGATTATTTTACTCTTCAACAGGTATGGAACCTCCTGGAGTAGTTGGAGCTCACACTGATATAGGAATCTGATAAAAAATAAATTGATGCTTCTTGTATTTTGGTCAAGACTTACTGCTGTGACTTGTTCCCATGAACCAACATCCTCTTGTGAAGGAAGGGCCAAAGTTTCCTTTATTCCCAAGAGAACTGATTACAGTGACTGTTTCTATTTTGGTAAGTTATATAAACATGTTTCGGTGAGAGCAAAAAAAAGCATAGCATGTTTAGTGATTCAGCAAAAATGAGGATGGCTTTGGTTAGACAAAAACAGTTCAAGTCTTCTTATTAGTGCCATTTCCACTGACTCTCAAAAACATTGCTTTTAAAATTGCCTTAAGAAGAAAAATTAGACTGTTTTTTTTTTTTTTTTGAGGAAGATCAGCCCTGAGCTAATTACTGCCAGCCCTCCTCTTTTTGCTGAGGAAGCCTGGCCCTGAGCTAACATCCGTGCCCATCTTCCTCTACTTTGTATGTGGGACGCCTACCACAGCATGGTGTGCCAAGTGGTGCCATGTCCACACCCGGGATCTGAACCGGCGAACCCTGGGCTGCTGAAGTGGAACGTGCAAACTTAACAGCTGCGCCACCAGGCTGGCCCCCAAAATTAGACTGTTTATGAAAATCCCTTTCAAGCTTATGGTAGAATCATAGCAAAAGTGACTGTAGGGAGGACATTTCCAGAATGTCAAGATCATAATTTGGTATTTGGTCAGATATTGCCTTCCAGATAATACTCTCTGCCAGCTTTGAGGTTTCTGTGTTTTGGACTAACAAACTATCAAAGTCAATGTTTCTACACATAAGAATAAAGAATGGAATGGTTTTTCAAGCACCTTTCAGTTGAAACCTAGATGCTTAGTCTGTTAACATGGTGGTGTATTTGCTGTTTGAGTTTTTTTCTTATTTCAGGAAATTAATTTACTGAAAGCCAAGGTAACCCCATTTCACTTCTCCCTATCAAAACAGGTAAGCCCAGCTGTAAGACCGATATAAGGAGACAGGGTCAGACAACACTGGCAGGGTAGGCTTTCCATGTGCACAAAAGAGTGTAAATATACCACTAATGTAACCAACCTAAGTGGAAGTGAGGCACTTCATTGGGGGGATTTATTGGAAAATTATAGTTTGATTATTCATTCATTCAACAAATATGTATTGACCACTTACCATGGTGACACAGCCTCTGACCTCACAAAGCTTGCATTCTAACGGTGGAGACCATCAAGTAAACAAGTGTAACCAGGATAACATTTTGAAAGTGCTAAACAGATGTAGTTTTAATTCCCATTAAATCACAATAGCCTGAAGCTTGCCACCATATATGCACACAGATGGACCATACAATCCAAACTTGGGCTAATAAGGCTTTGTTATAAGGATGAATAAGAGCTGGGGGCTAAATAGTGATAGGCAGAAGTGCAAACAAGTTGAAATCCTGGATCCCAGTGAGAGCATTTGAGGAACTGAAAGAAGTTCAGCTGGAAATAAGTGGCTGGAATCAAAAAGGAAGTGGCAAAAGATGAGGATGGAGAAGTGAGCCAAAGTACATCAAGTATGTCCAATAAGCCTTATTACCATGTATTTGAGGAATGGAAAGGAGGCCCTTGTGACTGGAACTATCTAAGTGGAATATTTAAAATCATCATTATAAGTGGTGACCAACTTGAACATTAGAGTTCAATTAGTCTATCAACCTCGGGAACCATGATGTTGCTGTGATCCAATTTGGATGAGCACCTTGTGTAAGCAAGAAAAATGAAAAAGAATTTGGGTGTTTGGTCAAGTTGCCGTCACATCTGCACTGGATATAGGGGAGTGATGGACTCTGCACAGCATCCTATGGGTGCACATTCTCAAATATTCTAAGGTCTCATTGTGACAAGAGTGGGCGTAGGCTCGGGTTCAGTAAACAGCAGCAGAAAGTCTTGTGAGGCAGCTCTGATTCCTCTCCTCCCTGCCCTTACTAGGGGCAGCTTCCCCAGAGGAATGGAAATTAGCATTCATAAGAGGCTTTGTCTATGTTCGCTGAAAGAGCTGTAGAGCCCTATCATGGGGTTGAAGGGAGGGTGAGACAGGCCTGTGGGGTGCTACATATGGTGGTTACTATTTAACTATAGGTATCAGAGGGATCCAGAGAGCTAGTCTATAGCATATGTCTAAGAAAGAGTGCTAGGGATCAAAACTAGAAAAATCAAATCAGTTATGGGTCCAAGAGTCAAGCAAGAATCCAGAAACAAGATGAAGAGGAGAAAAAAGCTCATGAGTGAAGGGGTCTAGGTCTGGAACTTTTGCAATGAGCAGAGTAATGACACTTGGGTTCTCCTTAGTTGGGCACCAGCTGTACTTGCATGAATAAGTCAGCCTCAGTTAAGACATAGGGTCATAGTAGACATGTAAAGAAATGAGGAACACTGCTGACAGATGGACACTGGGAACTACTGTCAAAAGAAACCAAGAAAAACCACAGCTGAGTGTTCCAAGATGAAAATGGCTCCTGGAAGGGTAAATAGAGGATCAGGCTGGGAGATCACATGACTCAGTGGTCTCTATTCAGCTTTCTCTGAAATTCTGAAAGAAGTCATTTTGGTATAAGAGAAAGGAATAGAGATAGAGGCAAACTGGGAAACAGAGACTCCTGGCAGGGCCTTAGACCAACTAGTACACAATTATAACCTCTTCTTGGATGCCTGGTAGAGACTAAGAGAAAAGATGACTGCATAAATCTAAGAGATGCGTGGCGTCCTTTGTCACTGGTTTTTGGTTTGCAAACGGGCAGATGAGAAATGAGATTCCTTCAATGGTGACCTAATGGCCTTTCACATCCTAGTCAGTTTTTATTAATAGATTGCCCTTTATGATAATAAATTTTCCTTCTTTGTAATTTTCCTTATACCCAAGCAGAAAATATATTTACACCAGAGTCGTTTCTTTCCTTTAGGGCCAGAAACTATTTGGGGGAGTCTCTGGCAGGGTGTTTGTTTTTCTTATTTTTTTTATGGTCTACTATACAAGTTATACATGGTGATTTGAATTCAGATTAAAGCAATCTATGAAGTCAAGAGAAATCTATGAAGTTGTTAAAATAGGGAACTAAATATCCCTGAGTCTGAGGTTTTGAAGTCAATTGAAACACAAACACATTAAGTAATCCTGCACGTGTCCTTTGGCTCGGTCTATTTCCTTCAAGTGTGTGGTTTATCTTTGTGTAAAGAGACTTAAAATAAATTATGCTTAAAATAGTATTATAAAAATGATTTTATAATTAAATTATTGTAATTAAATTAATTTAAATTGGCTTAAATCTTTGACAAAATTGAAAAATACAAACTTTAAGACACATTATATTGAAGTAAATAAGGTAGGAGGAAGACTACGTCCATAGTTAGGCTAAAAGCAGTCAATGAGCACAAAACTTAGATGTGAGTTTCTTGATTGTTAGAGCACAAATAAATCATGTTGGATTCTATATTTCTCATGATCTAACCTAAGGAATTATACCTTTGTATCCAAATGGACATTTTGTTTTCCCCAACACTCTAGGAGAAATTTATCACAAAAATCATTATATAAGAGACCTTTAGCAAGATGGTAGACAATACATTCAGTTCACAGTTGAGGAAATGCAGAAACAGTCTTCATGTGGTTATTTCTTATAACAACCCTTTCTACAATAGGAGGTAAAATGTTAAGTCTAATTTGAGAAAGTATGACTTTGTGAGAGTAAATTAGTAATGGGATTTTTGTGCGTGTGTGATCTGATGGTGGCAGTGGTAAACTGTTGAGAAGCTGGGGCAATGAGCTCCCCCTCATGATTCAGATGTCCCAGATGAGCTTGTGAGAAGAGGAGTAGAGAAGAAAATTCAAAAGCAAGCCTGCTCCAGAAATGGCAAGCATCTGGGTTGTAAGTTGATGGGAGATCCTCATGTAGCCACTACCTGTGTAGGAAGCAAGGTCAAAGTTGTTAGGCAAGTTAAAGAGCCTTTTGCAAACTCTTGCCCAGATGAAAGTTCTACTTCGATTTTCACAGAAGTGGATTGTCATGAAAACAAGGTTTGGGAAAAATTAATGCTTGTGGTTTCCACATACTAAATTGGCTACTGGCATATTATTCAAAGAGAATATAAAGCATTCATTGACTATCTGAATAAAAAAACTGCTTAAACTCTCATTTTCCAGCTCATGTGGTGGGATATACTATTGACACAGCTGTCTTAACCTATGTGTGGCAAAATATTAGCTTACTAAAGACCATTCCTCATCACCATTTTCCTTAGAGGAGTATCATGCAAAAAAAGAGAAGCCCATGGTAGTCAAGACTGTGGTAAGAAAACTTGCTTTGTACTCTCTTTTACTTGAAATTTTTTATTGAGCTGTAGATTCACATGCAGTTCTAAGGAGTAATACAGAGAGATCCTGTATATACTTTCCCCAGCTTCTCTCAGGGGTAACATCTTGCAAACTACAGCATTTCAGCACAACCAGGATATTGACATTAATACACTCCACTGATCTTATTCAGATGTCCTCAGTTTTACTTATACTCGTGTGAGTGTGTTTAGTTCTATACAACTTTATCAGGTCATTTTCTGTATCTATCACCACAGTCAAGACACTGAACAATTCCATCACCACAAGGATCCCTCCTGTTGCCTTTTTATAACCATACCCTCTTCTGTCCCCCTCTACACCTCTCACCCCCATCCCTAAACCCTGGCAACTACTAATATGCCCTTCATTTCTAAAATTTTGTCATTTCAAAAATGTTATATAAATGGAATCATATATTATACAAACTTTAGGATTGGCTTTTTTTACTCAGCCTAATTCTCTGAAGGTCCGTCCAAGTTGTTGCAAGTATCAATATTCATTTATTTTTGTTGTTGAGTAGTATCCCATGGTATGGATGCACCACAGTTTATTCATCTGTTGAAGGACACCTGGGCTGTTTCAAACTTTGGCTATTACAAATAAAGCTGCTATGAAAATTCAAGTGCAGCTTTTTGTGGGGACATAGGTTTTACTTTCTCAGGGATCAATGCCCCAAAGTGCAAGGGCTGGCTTACTGCTTGTAAGTAAATAAGTACAATAGTATTGATTGTCTAGTTGTATAACAAACTGTCAAGCTGTTTTCCAGAGTGGCTGTACCTTCTTACTTCCTACCAGCAATGTATGTGTGATACAGTTTTTGCACATCCTCACCAGCATTTGGCATTGTCATTATTTTCATTTTAGCCATTCTGATGGGTGTACAGTATTTTATTGTGGTTTTAATTTGCATTTATCTGAATGGCTAATGACGTTCGATATCTTTTCATGTGCTTATATACCATCCAAATGTCCTCTTCAGTGAAATCTCTGTTTGTATCTTTTGTCCTGCTTTGTATTCTAAAGTATACAACTTTCTAGCTTCAGTAGTGGGTTTTTTTAAATTAGAAAAAACATTGATACCAGGTACAAGACGTTTGTCATTGTTTCATTTCAGACAGAGACGCCAACCCATTTCCCACAGATAGAACCCTTATATTTGTACTCAAGATTCACTTGAGGGCTCGGGAACCAAGGGTCAGGGAAATGGCTTCCAGAACACTCTTTAAAACATTTTTTTTTAGTTTCACAAAGTATTTGGGATACTTAGGTATTGTAATCACTTCAGTTAATTAGTTAATAAATTAGGTCAATAATGGAAAATAAATTTACATTATTTTTATACATCTGAATTGTAGGCAATACTATACTCCCCATCAACAGCCAGGTGCAGCTAGAAGAAAACTTCCAAGAAGAGGCAGCAGAGTCTATAAGAAGATGTTGAACCTGTGTTGGGCAGCTGGTCTCAGCAGGGCCTGTAAGACAAGCATCAATTGCCAACCCTCGGCATGTGGTTTATTATCAGTGAGTGGCAGTAGAGAACTGACTGAGTGCCAAGAGAAGCTGGAACCTCCTCTTGCTCAGCCACAGCACAGACCAGCATAACCGGACCAACGGCTGGGTGCTTGGGGCAAGTCTCCCTGCAGCGAAGGGAGGAGGAATGAGTAATGATGCCTGGGACAGAGAAAGTAGTGGTGTCCCTGGGGGCCATACCTGTCTAGACCCCAATATAGAGAAGGGACAGTTTCCAAGCCAGTGAAAACAGAGATGGGTGGGATGGACCCACAAGAGATATTGGAGGGAACAGGACATAGTTTTGCATAGTTGTTTGGGGAAAGAAGTCTTCAAATGAGAGGGAAGCCCCAGATCTATGTGGAGAAATATTACATCTTTTTTTTCCTTTCCTTCCAGAACCAAAGCAGTGAGAGTGGCTTTTAGAAAATACAGAAACTGTAAACCCTGGTGTGGGGCTTGTTGGCAGTGGGTAGTGAGTGAATGAATAACCCATTTAGGATTATATTTTAGATTTTGGAGTCTACATATATTAGTCCAATCTCTGCGCTCCTCCTCAAATACTCCCCAAAGCTATAGCCTGGATGGACCAACACCACCCCAAATTAAAGGAAGAAAGAAATTCTGGACTAATAGACTAAAGGATTGACTCTCATGATTTGAGGAGTAAATAAAATGTCTCCCAGTATTTCCCAGCTTATCTTCCCCTCAGCTACCATGATCTTTTACTGCTAATTTTTAAAACCTAATTGCTTAAACAAACTGACCCCACTTCCTTATTCCCCTCGCTCTTCAACCTGACTTTTGTCCCCATCTCTCCTCCAATAGAGTTCCTGCTAATGACCTCCATGTCACTAAATGCAATGAGCATTTTTTCAGTCTTCATCTTACTTGACCACTCAGCAGCATTTTTTTTCTGTGACGCCTAATGTCCCTCCTACCTTCCTATCTCTTATTTTTAGACTTATCCTCTTTTCTTGAGACCTTTAAAGTTGGTGCCCCTCAAGATTTATTCCTAAACTTTTTCTCTTAATCGACATCCATAGATATGGGATGTCACCCCTACCCATTTGAAGCTATCAAATTCCCTCATTCAATCAAACTTATCATACTAATCAAACTTAACTCTTATTCCCCCTTGCCCTCCCATCCTCCAATTCACTCTCCACAGTGTTATTTTAAAGAAGTACTCTTGTCACTTCTCTGCCCTTGGATAAAGACTGGCTTCTGCTTGCTTCTCCTACTGCACCACATTCAGCTTCTATCAACATCCTCCTTTCAGTTCTTTCTCTTTCAAGGTCTTTGCTAAGGCAGTTACCTCTGCCTGGAATATTTCTACCATTCTCTGTGCCCCCCACAACCTCATCTAGTTCTTGCCTAATCATCCTTCATGTTTTTGCCCAAATGTTACTTCCTCAGGAAGGCTTCCTGACAACACCAAAATAGATCAAGTCCATCTCTCACATGCAGAGCCCCGTGAACTCTTCCTTTAAAGGCTTGTCACTGTTTATATGTATTCGTGTGATTATTTAATTAATTCGTGTCTCTCGTATTAGCTCCAGAAGGGGAGATGCCTTGGCTGTTAGTTCTCTCTGCACCTCAGGAACCCAGGACAGAGAATGAGTGAAGAAACCGAGGTCTTCCACAGTCAGAGGGCACGGGGATGCTGGAGTAGGTATACCAGCCTTGGGAGTAGGCACAGATTGTGACTGTCTCATACTTAATTGCTCCAAATTCAATTTCTGGTGCTGTTTCCTTTCTGATTATTGAAATAATTCCTGAAAACGTTGCTCAGCCAGGAAGTTGTCTCAGATTTTATTTTTTTAAATGTCTTTAAATAACATTTGTAGAGCATTTTATAATTTACAAAGTATATACGTTTCCATTATGTCATTTGAATCCCCAAACACCCTCTCAAGCAACATATTATTCTTAATTGACAGATGTGGAAAATGAGCCTTAGAGGGATTAGGTGACTAACCCAAGTTCTCTGAGTTAATAAGGGACTGAGTAGGGACTTCACCCCAGATTTTGCAGTGCCGAGTTCTGTCTTTTCCCACTGCTGGATAATTGCTTACGATTTCTCTTCACTCGGTCAAGTCTGAATTTGGACTTTAATGGTTAACGATACCCCAAGAATGATACAGTTTTTATTACATTTACATATATAGCAAAAATCACAGCATTTATATATGTATGTCTCTTAATTTATATATGTATGTCTCTTCATACAGACACTTCTACCTGGATCGGTCTTTCTTATACTGGAGGAGAGACATTTGATTCAGAACCCAAGGTCCTTAGTTGGATAGTTGTCTTTGTAAAATGGTCATATCTTTTTTCTGTTTTTTAACTGATAACGTTCAGGAGAATTGATGACCAGGTTTACAAAACAAGGCAGACCCTCAAATCTATGGAATCATGGTTAATGTCAATTATTTCAATCATTACTCTTTCATTATACCAAGTCATATTTATATTATTTCAGATAAAATCCAAAATATAAACCAATTTTTTGATCAAGAAACTTTTATAACAGCTGATTAGGCATCCTAAATTGGGGCAAAACTTTACATTTTCCAGAATAAAGAAAAGAAGAGCATGTGTTAATAATTCAGCTTTGCAATTACAGCCAGGTCCTTTATTGCTGGTCATTTAGTTGCACAAAAACTTTGGAAGTCCATTTCAGAATCCAAGGTTTGTTAGTTCTAATTAGCAGATTAGTTACTACTGAGAAACTGAGACAAATAATTGCAGTGGAAAAGTAGACTCTTTGATTTGCGTGTATTTAGATTTTTATCAAGAGTGTTTTCCCTTAAGGCAAGCTTTATGGTGGCAGTTAAAGCCTAATTCTTGGCTGCATAAAATTTGTTTGAAGGTGACTTGTAAGCTTAGGTCACGGTTCTAGTACCAATAATATTAATGTGATTAACACACTCTCTTGTGGGGTCTCAGTAAAGAAAGAAAGAAGTTAAAAGGAGCTTATTCAATGTATTTGGAAAGTACAGACACTTGTGCAGATACCATTGATTGTAAGATTCATCACGAATTTGGAAACAGCTTCTTTCCCTTTTCATGGCAAGGTACGCATGGAAGGCTGGCAGGAGGTGATGGGCCGGAGGGCTCCGGCAGGACCAGGCAACACCAGATCTCTCTGAAAACAGAGGGGAGGAATAAAACCAAATGGACAAACAAACAAAAGATGTCCCAGCTCATTGCAAAAGAACAAGACGCTATTTTAAATACAAGCACATTAATAAAAAAAATCTTGATTCCAGAAAAGTTACACTGTCTTGCCTAAAATCATCTTGCCCTATAGCCAATGGTTTAGAGAAATCATGCTTTTCAATGGGACCTCTAAAAATATATACCATTGTATGGATGGGAGAGTCTGTAAAGAGAATTTATACTATAATGAGTCATTATTTTAAAAAGCCCCAATATATAATCTGTGGCATGTGTACAACAAATGGTTAGATTTCTTTTTGTTACTGATAAATTACTAAAAAGTCCAGCTTGTTCAAACAAATGTTTTATTGTTTTTACAATTTTCCTCCTAATTGAAAAACGGTCAAACATTAAACAATATATCTTCCACTGGGTGAAACATAGTTGAACTTTATTGTTTTTTGGCTGAGGAAGATTGGCCCTGAGCTAACATCTATTGCCAATCTTCCTCCTTTTGCTTGAGGAAGATTCTCCTTGAACTAATATCTGTGTCAATCTTCCTCTATTTTGTATGTGGGTCACTGCCACAGCATGACTGATGAACGGTTTAGGTCCATGCCTGGGAACTGAATCTAGGCTGCCGAAGCAGAGTGCGTTGAACTTAACAACTAGGCCACAGGGCCAGCCCCTTGAACTTTCTTTTTAATCAACTCTACAACTGACACAGCTTGTCATTGTTGAATCCATTTTTAGACACCCAGAAATGGATTCTTCCTGTGAGTGACATCACACAGTTGGATTGGAAGTTTCCTGTTCCATCTCCAGAGGAGATGACAGAGTGTGGCTTTAAGGAGATACTGGGTAGGAATAATATAATTGATTTTGTTTGATGGTAATCTGAGGTTTCCCCTGGCAGAAAGATGTACAGAAGTGTGCTGTAATATTTAAGAAGCACATAATGCTTTCTATCTCAGAACCACACTGAGAGATTTAAGCTTGAGGCTCCTATGAGGAGAAAAGCTGCCTTCAAAGATCTCAGCTCCTTTTTCACTTTTTATGTTTTTCCAGCAAAGAGCTCAAACTTGGTACTTCTACAAATGCATATTTGTTAGCTGTATTGTGACACAATGTTTCCCAAATTCAACTAAGGAAAATGCCCTTCAGTCCTGTAATGTTAATACTCTTTCCCTTTTTATGGCACCCACCGTCCATTGCTACCCCTCAATCTCGGCAGGGTTGATTTATTTTCCAGGGATGTTTTCTCTCTTAGATGACCACAGTTGATGGTGGATTAATCCACTCACATGAACTGTGCTAAAGTTTTATAGGAATTGTGGACATTCTGGCAGGTAAGTAATCAGAAACGCCCTTTGGCTCCCCTCAAATACCAGGTGCAGACCTTGCCTCTTGGACTGAGAAGCCTTTCAGTGAGTCAGAAGAACAGGTAATTGCATTAATCTTATGTAAACCAGTCACCAGGAAACACTTGCTATTTATTCCACAATCTATTCTCCCTCTTTCATCATCACCATTTGTGTTCCACCCATACAGCAAAGCTCATCTAAGAGAAAAAACATTGCCAGCAGTATTTACCTTCTGCTCAGCATGAGAACATTTGTCTTTGTGCAGTGAATACGTCCATTTATAAGCAAACAGTAATACTCTGGAAAGAAAAATGAAGTATGTTAATAAACCATTGTCCACACAATAAATACTGTTGTCTTTTCCTTATAAATGGGATATGGTTGACTCTGACACTGGACCAGACACTGGAATTTGTTTTCCGTTAGTGATGGTGGATTTTCACAGATACACCCACACTTGCTTGGCTCATCGCTGGTGACCTTAGAACTAATTTGAGACGCAGTTGGCAGGGGGTTAGGAATGTAAGTCAGACCTGGAGTCTTTAATGTTGTCCAAGTATGTTCTTATTTATGAGGTGATGTGAACTGGCAAAACAGCAACTCCATCATTGTTGCTTTTAGGAAAATCTCATATAATCATTTACAAATGAACCAGAACAAACCACACCTAACCAGGCCATAGGACCTGACCCTGCTCCTCACTGAGGGCACCCAGATAACCTTTGCTATCTTCTCCATCTTAAATTTCTCCCCAAACTCTTAAGAACACAAGATATAGGGAAGTCTTCTAGATTTCTTCTTTTTGTTGCCCTAATGCTCCCTGCATATCTCCTGCTAACTTTAAATAACAGGAAACTGTTGTGGTGGCTGGGCTTTCTAGGCTGACTTACTTTGGTTCAGCTCATTTAATTATTAAACTAAATACTGTCTGAGCTAACTGCTCCCACTTCAATTTTGCTGTGGTTTCATTCCTTCATTAGCTTGAGATCCACTACACGCTCTTTGTCAGAATTAGAAATGTCTATTGAACATAAAACAAGAGCATATCTGAGGAGCAAGGCTACTTCAAATATAGGGAGTGAACACTGAGACTGATGCCCAGCAATTCTTTCTGACTCTACAGCCAGTGGTCATGCTTCCTACTGAAGTTAAGAGAAATTTTTGTTGCTGGTGTCCCACAATGGGACCACATCAGAATTTTTCAATGCATGCCTACTCAATGGAATAGAAGTATAATTGGAAAAGGGCCACTAGCATCATGGTTCAGGTAATTTATAGATTAGAGTTTTTAGTGGTCTGGCTTGGAAGCCCAGCCGCCATTTTCTAATCTGACACAGGAACACATTTGCCCAGTGAAATAGTCAGCTTAACGTTCAACCCAATGATATTGTTAGAAACTAACAAGAATACAGGTGCACAACAGAGAGGCAAGGGAAGGTCAAAATAAACCCAATACATGAATAGACACACTTTATGCTGTGTATAAGGATACATTTATTTAGGGATAGGGAGTGAGAAAATGAATTTATGGGTTAGCAGAGTTGACTAGTTATGGTGGTTCTAGGTATACTTTTATACTTTTAGGGGGAGAATAATAAGGAACATCTTTTGAGTGAAGGTGACTGAGCAATAATTCAGAAAAGCTGGACAACTAATTCAGGAAGAATAACTTTCCAGTGCCATGGTGTCCAAGGGCCTGGGTTCAAACTTGAAAAAAAAAAAATCATTTTACTGCCCTTCGGTGATTAGCCAAAATGCTGCAGGCAATACTGATATGTTTCCCTGTTAAGAACCATGGACCTAGATGATCTTTAAGGTCTCTTCTAGTTCTGTAATCGGAATTTTCCTTGAAAAGATATTCTACTTATACAGCTAGGAAGATTTAGCAATTTCCTCTTGCTTTTCTAGCAGAAAACGTACTTCAAGAAGTGGGGTTGCAACAGGCGAACTATTCACCCATAGTCCTTTGTTGGTGTAAAAGTTATTCTAGGATTTATTCCCAAATCCCGGCTGCAAGAAGCAACACATTAGGACTGGACCACAGCGCCCTCTAGCCTGCACGCCTGCAAAGCCAGAGGCTGGGTTTTCTAGGATTCTGTAGAAAAGCAACCGGCTTTGTTCGTAGGAGATTTTCTTCACACAATATGTTTTCTTATCATTTGTTTATGTAACTTATAGACTTCAAAAGTGTTGCTCCCTCTTCAAGTTAAAGGAAACTACTATTCATTTTAGGGAAATTAATAACACCACACCCAAGACCTGCTCCGCAACACTTAAACATTCCTTGGCAGTTTTAATTTTTAAAATCTGACTTCCAGATATTTTATCTCCACTAAGGAAAGAAGTTTATAACAAAACATCCTCATGTATAAGACAGAGTCACCGAGTGTATTACGATCACATATTTGGAAAAGTAAATGGACATGCATATAATATTAGGTGGAACCAAACTGCGTTTCTTTAAACTGTGTTTGATCTACAAAAACAGCTTTTTTGCATGGTTCACTCTAATGTCTAAAAGGATAAATAAGAAACTAGGAAGAAACTAGGGAGGGAAGTGGGAACGGGGAGACAGGAGAGGCACACTTCTTTTTCTACATATATTCTTTGAAGTCCAAGGATCTTTTTACCACATTCAAAAAATTAATATAAAAATTTTAATAGGAGAAAAAAAAGATGTGGTCATAAATTTCCTTAGACTAACTTATTTTCTCCTCTTCCCATATTTCTCGCCATACTCTTCTCCCTCTCTCTGTCAGAGTTGTTTATTGAATTAGCTGACAATCTATTGTTTTCAAACTTCTGGTAAAAAATTTTTAGAAACATAACCTAAGGGAATTTATCATTTGATTACGGAAATATATACGTGCACAGGTTTTTATTGTTTTAGGATAGTGGAAAATTTAAACAACGTAGATGGGAGATGGTATAAATAAAATATGATGCATTCATCTATCAGAATACTGTGTAGACACTGGGGGGGTTTTTGCTCTTTTTTTGGGTATGCCTTGTAATATTTTTATTTTATTTTTTTGATAGCTGGACATGATATAGTGGGTAAAAGGAGCCGTAGTAACAGGCTTTCAGTAATGTGGTAGTAAGGAACGTGTGTGGGGGCAAGCATTCTATAGTCCTATGATGAGGTCTCAGTCTTTTTTTTTCTTTTTGCAACTGAAGAATAATTGACATATAATACCCTGTTAGTTTCAGGTACATCATAGTGACTCAATATTTATATACATTATGAAATGATCACCATGATAAGTCTAGTGACCATCTGTCATCATACAGAGTTATTAAATGCTTTTGATTGTATCCCCATGCTGTGCAATACATCCCCATGACTTACTTATCTTATAACTGGAGGCTGGTGCCTCTTAGGTCTCGGCCTTTGGGTGAGCCTACGACTCTGGACTGTGAACTTCACAAGTGTTTCTCAGTTTTTGTCTCCCCTTTTAGGTGGGACAGGATGGCTGGAGAGGACTGATGTTGGGTATTTCCCTTCCCCCACGTGGAAGGCTAGAGCTGACGCGAGTGGCTATTTCCTTTCCCCAGGGTGAGTTAGGCTCTGGTTTAGTTTCTCCTGAGGGCAGGCCTTGTTACGAACAGAGTGATCTGGCATATTTCAAAATGGGTCCTTTTTCCTTCCCCCTGAAGGAAGGAAGCAGGAGGGGATTTTTCTCTGACATTTACTGTGGGAATCTGCTCAAGCTCCTGGAGGTAAATCTCACAAAATTATGGGGGCCTCCCTATGACGGGGTCCCCTGGAGTTTTTCACTCTCAGACTTGTCCACACTGGGCCTCCAGCAGTGCATCAGTTACAGTTCAGGTTTTCCCACCTGGCACTGGTTCCTGAACTGGTTTCTGCTGGGGAGCCTCTGCTCTGGTAAGCCATAACTCCTTGTATTCACCTGTTGGTCTCTCCAATCTTAGGGGCAGAAATTTGCCCTGTGTCCTTCCATCTCTTATGGATCCAAGAAGAACTATTGATTTTCCAGTGTGTTTAGCTTTTTACTTGTTGTTAGGATGGAGTGGCTACTGCCAAGCTCTTCAAATGCAGAACAGGAAATGGCTCGAAATCAGTTTTTAACGAGCCCCTGAGGTTCTTCCTAATGAACATTAAAGGATGTTAGTGGAGAAATGGAAGAAGTCTACAGGGCAAAGGAGAACAAAGGAAGGAAGCCAGGGGGTAGGAAAGGAAGGTAAAGTACCAGGAGTCCCTAAATGGAGACAGTGGTCCAAGAGAGAGCCCCTCTAGAGAAGGTGTTAGGGGCGGTGGGTGTGAGGGAGGACTGCTGTGAGGTGCCAGGAGTGACACTGGATCAGAGACCTTGGCAGCCAAGAAACTACTCAGATTTCCTATGAAAGAAAACTTTACATTGCCTGCACCCAGGACCTGTGCCTGCCAATCACTCGACTTGCACTCTGGGAAAATTGTCCAATGTCTGTACTGCGTTCTCACCAGTTGATTGTCCAGTATGACAATGCCAAGTCCACGCCACCAGTCTTTGTTTTCTGCCACTGAGTGGCCGCCCACTGTAGACCTCTCCTTGCAATGTCCTTAGGGCACCTGTCAGCCCCAGGTGACCTACTGGTGTGTTGGTAGTATGGGAGGGATGGTGCTGACAAATTGATTGTGTTTGAGGACTCTAAGCTGCAGCAATGGGGCATTGACGCCACTGTTCTGTCTGAAGGAAATATACCAAATTAGGATAGGCCACGTTGACCTCTCCATTGGAAATTTTTTCCCCAATATTTTTTTTTTTAAGATTTTATTTTTTTCCTTTTTCTCCCCAAAGCCCCCCTGTACATAGTTGTATATTCTTTAGTGGTGGGTCCTTCTAGTTGTGGCATGTGGGACACCACCTCAGTGTGGCTTGATGAGCAGTACCATGTCCGAGCCCAGGATTTGAACCAATGAAACACTGGGCCACTTGTAGCAGAGTAGGCGAACTTAACCACTCGGCCATGGGGCTGGCCCTGCCCCAATATTTTTATACAAGATTTCTTTGACTTTGTTTCTAAATATCAGTCCTTTAATGACCATTCATGGCCTTAATTGATTTTCACAGTTAAAATATATTAATTTTCCATTTTCATTTTTATTTTACTGAAGTTATTTTCTTTGGGGGACAGGTTTTCTTTTTTTTTTTTTTCCTTAAAATTGCCACCTGGGCTAACAACTGTTGCCAATCTTTTTTTTTCTTTCTGCTTTATCTCCCCAAAACCCTCTGTACTCAGTTGTATATCTTAGTTGCAGGTCCTTCTAGCTGTGAGATATGGGACGCCGCCTCAGCATGGCCTGACAAGCAGTGCCATGTCTGCGCCCAGGATCTGAACCCTGGGCCGCCGCAGCGGAGTGCCCAAACTTAACCACTTGGCCATGGAGCAGGCCCCATGGGGGACAGGTTTTCTGCGTAAATTTTATAATAAAGGGTTTTTTTCTTTGATGATGGAACATAGTATTTCACCTTTATTTGGGTGTATTATTATTACCAAAACTAATTTTCACAGGTCAAGTTTGCATTTTTTCAAGGAGATTGACTTCTTCCATTAATTTTAGTCATATTTTTTAATGTGTAAAGTTTTTAGCAATTTTTCAGTTTTATTTGCATTCATTATTTCTTCTAAGAGAGCCTAGAGTTTTCTAGGTTAGAGTGTGCAGTTATCCCTCAGCCAATTTCCTGTTATAATGAAGTGGGGTCTGGACCACGTGGCGAGGAAGAAAAAGGCGGCAGGTGCAGGAAAGGAGTTAGATTTGACAGTGGGAAGATGAGAATGTCTGTCTGAGAGCTTCTGTTTTCCCCCGTGATGTATGAGGCAAGGCAAACAACTAAGAATGAAAGAGGAGAAGGACATGAGCAAGTTTTTGGAAAGAGGAGAATGTGCGATGTAGTTATTTTGAAGACAGAAGTCATCGTATTACAGAAGTATGGCAGGACTGTTGGCTGGTGTTAAGTGGTCTTTTGAGATTTGTGGTCTTGGCTTTTAAGCAAGACCAGCTGTGTATTTTTCTCCCACTATGTTCAGCTGCTTGAGTTCAGGAGCATGGCAGATGGTTGAGTTTTACCTGAATTGGAGTTTGGCAAGGTGTTCATGGCTGAGGGAGAAAGCATTGCTCTCATAATTATCTCTTTTCTCTCCTGCATCATCAAACTTTTACTCATTGATTATTTCCTTTGGTATAAAATACATCCAGTAGCTATCATCCTTAACAACAACAAACACAAAACAAAATACAAACAAACAAAGCTTCCTTTTACCCTACTCCTCTGTAAAGAGCCAAGCTACCATCCCATTTATCGGTTCCTTTCATAGCTTGACTTCTTAAATGAGTTTTCTGTAGTCTCGGCTGCATTTCCTCACTTTACATTTTCTCCTAACTCATTCCAGGCAGGCTTCTCTCCCATGACTCCACTGAGACTGTGTTTATCATGGAACCAGTGACCACCCTTGTGCTGAATTAACAGTCAGTTCTCAGTCCTCATCTTACTTGAACTCTCAGCATTTGGCCTCTTGAAACGCTATCTTCTCTCGGATCCATTGACACCATACATCCCTCTTTCCCACCCCACCCCCATTTCATTGACTGCTCCTTCGGGGTCTCCTTTGCAGAAGTTTTCAGTGATAGAGATCACATTCTTGGGAATTGCTTTCTCTTATCTAATTTATTTTTCCTATGGAAACTTCTTTACTACTAAGGATTTAAATATTACTGATATGCCAATGAACTCCTCGCATTCCTAGATCTACACTTGATTAGGAGGTAGTGTTATTTTTTGTACACTGATGAGCGCAATTTGCTAATATTTTATTTAGGAATTTTGCAACTGTATTTATCAGTGAGGTTACCTATAACTTTTTTTTTCATTTGAATTAAACTCAGAATTTTTCAAAATAAGCCCTACTGAAAAAAACTATTCCATATTCAAACTAAAACTATTTTAATAAAATTTTTCTTTCCAGGAGCAATAATGAAGGAAACAAGGCATTTTGTAAAACGCGGTTTTGAACTAGTCACAGTAAGAAATAAATGTATGCTTTCACCTCCTCAAAGCAGAGGCTGCTTCTGTTCCTCAGCCTTGCAATCAAGGTGAAGAACAGTCGATAAGCAACTTCGGGCAGAGTTACCAAAACAAAGCACAAGCAGGTGAATGTGGATGCCTCTTGAAAGACGTTGGGGGACCCTGACCAAAGGATCCGAAATCTATTTTTAAAAACTGATACAGGGGCCGGCTCCGTGGCCAAGTGGTTAAGTTCGCGCGCTCCACTGTGGCGGCCCAAGTTTCGAATCCTGGGCGCGGACATGGCACCGCTCGTCAGGCCACGTTGAGGTGGCGTCCCACATCCCACAACTAGAAGGACCTGCAACTAAGATATACAACTATGTACCCGGGGCGCGGGCGCGGGCGCGGGCGCGGGCGGTTTGGGAAATAAAGCAGAAAAAGAAAAAAAAAAAGATTGGCAACAGTTGTTAGCCCAGGTGCCAATCCTTAAAAAAAAAAAAAAAACCTGATACAAAGGTAAAGTGGTTCCTTCTAGGTGGCAGTGCCACCAGAGCCCGGCCCAGCCCCGTGCTCGCCTATGCTAAGTTCCCAAGCAAACCCTGATGCTTCTGCTCCACAGGAGACTTGTTCTCTTTAGAGTTTCAGCGTCCAAGGAGCTCTTTTTGTGAATGAGGTGAGCGCAGACTCCATGTACTTGCTCCACAGTTGGAGTCAAAGAATCTCCCTAAGACCGGCTAGGTAGAGTCTAGGCCAAACGGCTTATTTCCACTTTGTCCCAATTCCTCACCACGCGTTCGTAGACCTAGGACCACAGACCTTTGCTACGTCATCATAATCACATCTAATGTCCATCCTAATTTAGGATTCATATTCTGTGCCTGGAAACAGTCCCTGTATTTAACAATAATAGCTACACATAACACAATCCACTGTTACAATGTATATGGTCACAAAACATTAATGACCTTTGTAGACCAATTGTTTTTAATCATAATTGTCATACATCAAAATTCACAGCCAGAATCCCCCAAATCAAAAAATTTGCACAATACAAATAATAGCTTAAAAGACATAGGCATTTCTTACAGTACTGTGCTTCCGGAAACCCCATCTGTGGAGCGCCGCTGAAGGCATATTTCCCAAACTGCTGCTCCGGGTATTTTTGTTTGGAAAATCTATCCCAGCAGGGCACAGCTGTCTCTTGGATGTGCAGAAAAGAAAGATATGCTTGTGGCAACCAGAAACTTTTAAGCTCTTTCAGGTTGTATAAAATGAGCCTGCAGAAACGTTTAAGTGTTCTCAGGATGCAAAGTTGGAGCCGAAATATGTCAAACCAGTTACAAAAGTGTACAGCAGAAATCTCTTGAGGTCAAACCTCCTACCCAGATATGCAAAAAACCTTCAGGACCCACAGCTTGTTGACCTCCTCCCGTTTTGTGTGAATTTCACAAAAATTCATATTGGTAGAGAGGATTTGCTCATACCCCTCCCCAATCTGACCTTCCTAGTCTTTTAAGAGATGCTGACGTATCCTTCCAACTTGTCAGAGGGTAAAGGGGGGCTGGAAACTAATTCTTCATCCAGGAGGAACCTGGAGAACCAGCTGCTGTGCGTGCTGAGGCGTGAGGCTGACTTTCCAAAGCACAAGCTTCACTCTGATTAAGAACAACTTCTGAATGTCTCCACCTCCGATAATGACTGTATTCTTCTCTTACGTTCGAAAAATTTGCGCTGGAGTTGGAAGGAGGCCCTGGCTGCCGGCAGCGGCAGGCTGCTGCAGAGTGGGGTCTGTGTCCTGAGCGCGGCGTCCGGCATCTGGGCCTGGAGCGCGGCCGGGCGGAGGGGCGCCGCCCCGGGGCTTCGGGGACCGGGGCTCAGCAGCGCCTCCTGGGCCGCCGCGGTGTCACCCCGCACGCGCGTGCCGCCGCCAAGCGGCCGGGGACCAGGAGAGGATGGGGCTGGAACGTCTGGCTCCTCAGCGGAGCTGGGGGGCTAAGCCGGCTCCGGTGACACCGCCAGCACCCCCACAGGAAGTGATTTTAATAACAGTATCACTAGAAGGTACTGTGATTAATTAGCAATTGTAAAGTATTATATAAACATCAAACACGGATAAAATAGTGAAATAACTGAAAACTAGTCTCTGAGATTTAAGGAAAAAGAAACCACACTTATTGTTTTGTATTTTAATATGTTTCCTCCTAGTTTATTTTGGAAGACTAAAAATACCAGACCCATGATCCTAAGTTTTTCAAGTGGGAAGAACTCTTTTTAACATAAAATATTTTACAGGCCTTTATGTGACTGAGTTTATAAGTAGTATGTCTTACTGAGAAAATACATCAGAAAAAGCTATATTGATTTACTAATATATTTAAATAAACCTGTATGTTCTTAGTCACGTGCTGCAGGTGGTGTGGTGAAAGGCCAGCTTTAGAGTAAGGTTGGTTGGTTTCTAATCCTGCAGCATCACTTCCTGCTGTGCAGCAAACGTAACTTCTAGGTATCTCAGTTTCCTACTATTTAAAATGGGGAAAAATAGTACTTATTTCACAGAGTTGATCTGACGGTTCATTGATATATGACATGGTAAGCCCTTAGAAGAGTAGCTGGCATATAGTATATTCATTTTCAAAATAACACACATATTTGTGTTGGACTCATTTGTAGTTGACACGTGATGTCCGGCAGGCTGTATTAGAGACTAAGAAGTGAAGTCCTGAAGGGCAGGGGCTGTGTTGCTGGTTTACATCTGATTGTAAACCAGACAGACAGATCCGGGTTCTCATCATTGCTTTGCTGTTTATAAGCACCTGCCTAAGTTACTTGACCTCCCAGCTGTAACTATCTGTAATATAAATGCAAAATAGTACATACAAATAACTGTAAAGTAGCTGTAAATAGCTGAGGATAGCTTCATAGGTTTGTGGTGAGGATAAAGTGAGGTACTACACGTAAAGTACTTTGTGTAGTACCGGGCACATACTGCATCAGAGATGTTTGCTGTTAGCAGGAATTCAGACTAGGAAACTGAGAGTTGGAGATGTTAAACAGTCTATATCAGCCTCCTCAACTATTCATGAATGTTATAGCTGGAAACTCCCGCTCAGGAAAGCAACTGGTAACTAATTTCCTTACTTCCTCCTCTTCTTCCCAGTAACTAAACCAGAAAAATGAATTTCTAGGGCTTCTTTTGACTAGGTGTGGAAGACACTGTTGGATGGCTACCCAACAGCTATTCCATTCTCTCTTGCTGTCAGGGCCCCAGTTTGTCTGGAATGAGGGGATAGATTGGATTTTTGTTCTCAATCTTTCATTCCCTCTCTGTAATAGAATTATACATCTAAACCTTTTGGCGTGTGAATTTGTGGCACTTTCCACTGGAGTAGGTAAAGTATATATTCCTGCCTAGTTTGTGATGGACTTGGTCAGGTGATTTGTTTGGCAAATGGGATGTTACTGGACACGACATGAGCAGAGACTCTAAATGTGTTGGTGTGATTTTATCTAACTTCTGATGCATCTACCGTTTGCCATAAGAAGAGTATGCTGTGGTGCCCAGTAGTGTCAGAATAAGAAGATACTTGGGACAGACATGAAAACACACACAGCCTGGATCCAAGTACAACTGATCCCTGCCAAACCTAGCAGAGTCACACATGACCTGCATGCCCATAATTGAGAAACAAATGCTTATTCTTGCAAACCACTAAGATTTGGGGGTTGCTTGTTATGGAACATTATCACAGTAATAGCTGACTTATATAGGTAGCAGTCTGCCCAGCTCCAGAGGATGAATCATAATTGATCTAAGCTAATCTTATTGTTCTTCTCCGTACACGTGATTTTTCCAGATTCTCTTGGAGCTAGGGGTGGCCAAATGACTCAGAGTTGGCCAATGAAATATATAAAGATGTCTACTGGGGACTTCTGGAAAAGTTTTTGCTTCCCTGATAAAAGGCACAGTGGGAGCTGGAAGTATTTTTTCTTTCTTCATCTTTGCTTGAAAAGTCAGTGAGTGTCTTGAGACCATAAACTGAAAGGCACAAAGATGAAAACATAACAGCTAAGGATGATTGAGCAAACAAATAGAAATAGAAAGTCTAGAGTTTCTATTTCATTCATTGTAAGAACATTTTAATTTCATTGTAAGAACAATGAAGCAATTATCTTATGGTTGCCGTTAACCAAAAATGTGGTGGGAACTGATTTGGATACAGAAAATTACCCCCCGGTCAACATTAGATGCCACCATGTCAAATGGTGCTTTCTGAAAAGGAAGCTATGTCAAGTGTGGAGCCACACGGTAAGAGCATCTCAGAGTGTTGTTAGGGAGCAAGCTGTCCAAGGTGTTCAAGAAATGAGTGATGTATGTGATACCACCATCTTCAGCTTGCACTGGGCGTATCCTCAGTGTGAGTTTGGAGTGTGTGTACATTGCCAGAAGAAGAGGAAAAATTGTCAACAGGGTACTCCCTACAAGACTTTTCCTTGGCTTAGATGCATGAAGAGTCAAGTACATGAACCGGGGAACTTGATGCCTATGCGGATCATTCTTGGAAAAGCTCTCTAATGAGGTTGAAGGCTCTTCCTTCTGTAGGACCAAAATGTGGAATAGAGGCAAATTGTCCTTGTTCACAGAGGCAATTCAAGCTCTTTCCAAAGCCGGCCTTGAAGGAAGATGTAAAACAGACTTCCTTAGTTGGAGAAAAATCTATTCTTGGTGCTATGCTCCTGCAGAATCGCTCAGTGTTGGAGCCAGCAGCCGTGGGTGGAGGTGCAGCCTCCAAGTGAGCCAGCAGCATGAAATCAGCCTTTTCAATCAGTGCTTCTCCTTTAACCTGGCTGGCAGACCTACCCAGGGGGGATGTCAGCAAGGAAGAAAAGACGGGAAATGGACTCAAGAATACACTAAAAATCCTTGATATCTTTGCTTCTTTGGTAGAAAACAAGCCTTCCCCCAATTTATGTAAGAACCTTAAGGACTACTGACAAACCTAGGATTCTACACTCCTCACTGTTGGCTGTGTGGTAACTGTTTGCTGTCCTTGTAAGATCTCAACAACAGGAGCAACTGGAGTGTGTTCAGAGAGTGCTGGAAACAAGGGCCAGTGATGGTGTCTGGAGTGCATCCTAAATTGAACACTGAATTTTGGAAAACTGAATCTTTTGGCAAAGAGTTTTGTGACCAGGAAGTCGATCTAGTTAATTGTAGGAATGTCTTAGTCTGTTTGGGCTGCTATAACAAAATACCATAGACTGGACAGCTTAAAAAAGAAACATTTATTTCTCACAGTTGTGGAGGGTGAGAAATTCAAGATCAAGGTGCCGGTAGATTTGGTATCTGGTGAGGGCCCACTTCTTGGTTCATAGATGGCTGTCTTCTCACTGTGTCATCACGTTGTGAAAGGGGGGAATGGAGCTCTCTGGGGTCTTTTTCACAAGGGCACTAATTCCAATTGTGTGGGTTCTGCCTTCATACCTAATCACCTCCCAAAGGCTCTCCACCTCTCAATATCATCACTTTGGGGATTGGGTTTCAACATATGAATTTTGGGGGGATACAAACATTCAGTCTCTACCAAAGACCAATTAAATCATCACAAAAACCACAGTAGGAAACTTCTGGAATGGACTCAAAGATGTTCCTAATCTCTTGGGAAATGAAAAAGAATTAATGATGTTGAATCTTAAGGACTGGCTATCAGGGGGACATTTTAGAGATATGATGCCCTCCAGGCTTGATGATCTGATGGTCAGCGTCCCATTGCTTGGAGTGTGCAAGGTGAGATGACATACTGATTTTGTCTCTAGGCTGACAAACTACTTTGTTTGGCCAGATTGGGGTCCCAAGGTGTATAATGCTTGTGGATTAATTACTCTAGAAGATCGAAATTGCGGAGCAACGTCTTTACTGAGACGTGTCTGGTGCAGCTAATGTCCTGGTCTATGTGAGAATTCCCAAGGACAGTGTGACCAAGAAGACCTTAAAGCTGTCCAAGAATGGAAATTCTCATGAACTCACGATAAAGCAATTTATTAAAGGAAAAGAGAAGCCAGGAGCCTTCTAGCCTATATATGCTAGTGAAGACGTGGAAAAGATAGGAGAATTCCTTAAAATGGCATCAGAAGAGCTTTTTCAAGAACACCCAACAACCTTGATCCTATTAATGATCAGAGCTGGTATTTAGACTGATCACTGAGACAGCATCTTCATCAAGAGTATGGGGTTCAAGGCAGGGCTATTGTACAGTTTCTCAGAGATGTGGCATTCTGCCCAGCCTGAATTCCATACCAGGTTCATGACTTATATAGCTGTATCAAAGTGGCTGAAGATTTTGTTTCTCCAGAGCAAGTTAAACAATGCTTCTGGCTTATTCAGGAATTCTGTTATCTGTCACAGACTCATACCAATTGTGAAGTTAAATTACAGATGAATGTTATCTACCACGCCATTGCTATAGTGAAAGCCAGTGAATCCAGTTTTGGCAAACCCTAAGGGTTTCAGAGATGCCTTAACCTCTGTACAATGGAAGTGAATTATTGGCAGCTGTTCAAACTCTTCGGGCAAGATTCCTGTGGACTTTGAGAATTATGTTACCTCATCTTTTTTTTTATATGTACCCGACTTTTGAGGATACTCTGTCTAATGTATGTTTCTAGTGTTTACAGACACTAAGTGTGTATGTGTGGTAACTATTTACAGAACATGCATCTTTAAACTGTGATTTTTCACCTAGTACAGAGCTTTTACCAAGTTGTAAAAACAAAAACCTCTTATCAGCCCTGGAGCAATACCTGCGGTTATCCCTAGCTACTTGGTTGGATAGCTTAGTCAAAACGCATTTCTAACTGTTAGGAATTACTTTGCATAGTCTATTTGGGTTATATTTTGTTTGTATTTGTCTGAATACCTCTCCTCTGCCCTTCAGGGTTCAGAAGAGTGATGGGAGAAATGAACAGCTCATGATGCAGTTCTTATTATATTGCATAGGATTGGC